AGGACCTGAGGATATGCGTGTTCATTTAAAGAAAGGTTTGTCTATTAATTAAGTACTCAAATTCAGTGCATGCTTCGGCTTATAGACGAGTATTCATTCAACCAGATACTTTTTTTTTTGTCCTTTACTTTGATTAATGATACACACAACGGGTTGTTTTGCACTCAAAAAGACTTTGACTGTTTTTCATGCATGTGCGGTAGTGATCTGTGGATTGCCTTTATTCATATAAACACTTTGAAATGGCCTACTGTGTTCCGTGTAGTTTTCAGTTGAGGGACCCTCCCCTAAATTATTTTGTGATTTTGACCCTTTGAACTATCTCACTGGGACAGTTACAAATTGTCGCCCAAACAGGGACCTTCAGATTTGAAAACGCACAGGTGTAAAACAATCAGGGTGGTAAGCAGCCTAAGTTCATTATTGTAGTTTTTTTTTTTTTTTTTTTAACCGTCATCTGCTATGGATAGAGATGAGTGCATTCCTGGCGTGGATTTCTCATCAGAGACATTCACTACCAGAGGAGAACCAATGAGAGAACTGATAAACGCGTTTAGTGATTTATATATTGATTCTGATGAAGACAGCGAGCGAGTAGAGGATAATGTTCATGTGGACGATTCACATTTTCCTCCTCCGCCACCACCAATAGAGGTGAATGAAGAAGTCAGCCCCAACTATGACACAACTTTGATGAAACGTCTCACTGTGATTGAAAACCAAGTGGCTAATATCGATCGAAGGGTGAGTGAGCAAGTTTATTTTTATGTGCGGTGTAAAAAATTGGAAGAAAAGATGGCTTATTATGTCAAACGGAAATGTGAAAGAGTCAAACAACAGATGGAGCTGATGGTTAAGGACTTGGGACAATCGATTGTTGATTGTTTAAAGAGAAGAGACCAGCAATTAGAACAAAGATTTCAGTTACTGAGCCCAAATTCTTCTACTCCAAGAGTACCTAAAGCAAATGTTCCAGTAAATGCGGCCCACTTTCCAATTCATAATATGACTAGTTGTGTTTCCATTCAAAATAACCCTTCTACAAGTCAGTATAACCCACCTGTAAAGATGGATTTCCCCAGTTTCACTAATGCAGTTGAGGATTATCCTGTATTGTTTGTGGAGCGCTGTGAAGAGTATTTCGCCGTTCAACTCCTCAGCGATGAAGAAGTAATTGCTGCTCTCACTGCTGTGTTAAGAAGCACTGCTAAGGATTGGTGGATAGCAGAAAGGTAAAATGTAACGAGTTGGAAACAGTTCAAAGAGAGGTTTCTGCTTTCATTTTTAAGTGAGGATTATCAGGATGTAGCTGCAAAAAAGCTTGCTGAAAGAAAACAAGGCCCTAAGGAAAGTTTGAGAGATTTTGCTTATCACTATCGTGCCCTGTGTTTGAGGTGGAAAAAGGACATGACCGAGAAGGAATTGATTCAAGCAATTCTAAGAAACTGCAATCCACGTTTAGCTAGTTTACTTCGTGGGACGGTTAAAGATGTGGGGGAATTGGTGAGGCTTGGAACCTAAATTGAGAAGGATTTAGATGAATTAAAGAGGTATTGGAGCCAAGTCAACAGTGAAGAGCAGAAGAAGAAATCTCCTGTTCCTCCAGAGTTCCAACGCAAATCCTCACAGGGTGCCAGCCGAGTTGTGTTGTTGGATCAGAGTTCAGAACCCCATGATTTTAAAAACATCACCATTCCGTTAATACTCTGGAACAGTTATGTCATTGCCATAGTGGAAACAGGTAGCACATTTTCTCTGATCCAAAAGTCTTTGTGGAAGAAATTAAGTGGCCATGAAGATTATCAGCCTAGTGGAGGTCAGACGTTCCTATTATCAAATGGACAGAGACAAAGTTCACTGGGTAAAGTCAGTTGGGATTGTGAATTCCAAGGGCAGAAGATGCATGTGACTTTCTATGTTATGCAATACTCCGACCTAACCGTACCAGTTATCCTGGGAATTGATTTATTAAAGTCTAAGATGGTATTGGATTTTAACCAAGCACAGTTTCAGCTATCTACCTAAAAAGATTTTTCCTTTTATGCACTACAATGGTCACTCTTTCACTTATTTTTATCTGGCCATGCCTATTAGCAGTCCAGAAGATCAACAACAGATTCTTCGAACCACACAAATGGTGGATTCAGACCCCATCATTCAAAAGACCTTGGAGGAGTTAATGTTAAGTTGGCCCACAGTGTGCACTCAACAGCTTGGCAGAACAATCTATGTCAAACATCGTATCACTACCATAGATGAGATTCCCATAAGAAAAAGAGTGTACAAGGTTTCACCGGAGAAACACCAGTTCATTGAGTCTCAAGTTCAGGAGCTTTTGGAGAAACGGATTATCCAACACCTCTATTTCACCATGGGCAGCACCAGTGGTTGTTGTACCGAAGAAGGATGGAAGTTCTAGGTTTTGTGTTGATTATAGGGGTCTTAATGCTAAGACACTTCTAGATGCCTACCCAATGCCCCAAATTCAGGATATTTTTGAGTCTTTGCATGGTGCCACTGTTTTTTAGCACACTTGATTTAAAAAGTGGTTACTGGCAGATGGAAATGGAAATGGACAGTATTGAGTAGACAGTAGGGCTGTGAATCTTTGGGTAGACAGCGATTCGATTCGATTCACGATTCATAGGTTTTCGATTCGATTCAAGAACGATTTTTGCAAATTTAGAACGATTTAATTTGATTTGATTCACAATTAAATTTGATTCGATTCGATTATAATGATTCGATTCTGCATTCACAGGATTATTTAAGTGCTTCCCCTAAATTCTTTAAATGCTTGGTCAGGGTGGCAAATTACACAGCAGCCTTTATGGTTACAGAACCATATGATTGTTATATGATGTTGATATGATTTTATGAAATCATTTATTTCAATTTTCTGCACAGAATAAGGTAGAAAATATACTTTGTAGTTTCTGTACTGTAATAAATGATATGTCAATCAATGCATCATTCATAAATTTTATTTATTTATTGTGTTTATTGTTTAACGTTTCATCAGTTCATTCTGCTTTTTATTCAGATTAGCTGCAGATATAGCCTGGCACGTCTTAAGTTCTATGAGCGCGAGATCAATTCTCTTTCAGTGCGAAAACTTTATCTAATTTTCAGAAAATTAAATTAAATCCTCTCCATTGGCAAATGATGATTCTGAAAGAAAGCGCGCCTGATCTCTGTTTGCTAAAGCAACAAACGCTACTTTCGTGCATCTGATTATCAGATAAACCTTGCGCTCTTATTTCAAGGTTGTTGTTAATGCTGTGGTTATTTTAACAGTTTCCTTCGTACATTCGGTTCAACAACATTGTTAAAACATTTATAATTCAATAGAACTGTGCATACTTACATTTCTGCTCCCTCCATGCAATAAATACTTCGACTGCTCAGGTAATGCCGTCGGTAAGATGCCGAGAGCCATTGAAAAACTACAGAAAAGTAAAACTACTTCACTTTAGCATTACTGGCCACGAGTACTAAGGAGAGATCACACATCAGGTGCTCAAAACATGTGTCAGTGAGACGAACTGAGTGCGAGCGCAATCCTGTGACAGTCACAGGCGGTTAGTGGAGCGCGTGAAGGAGAGATGCGAGGGCACGAACACTGTTCAAGGTCTCCATTAATTCGTGCTTGTAGTAATTTAATGTGTATAAAATTTGAAAACATTGAATCGCTATAGAAATCGCGATTCATTCGATTCTTAGCGTTTTAAATCGATTACTGTCCGAAATCGGCGATTCACGATTCAAAAATCCATGTTTCAAGATCGATGCATTGCATCGCATCGTCAGGGTTTATAATCGATGCATCGAGAAAACGAGTG